GTGTGTGTGTGTGTGTGTGTGTGTGTGTGTGTGTGTGTGTGTGTGTACGCGCACTCCTGTAAGCTCGTACCAAGTGTCTAGTACTTTGCAAATGCCAGCTTGGGGAGTGAAGAAAAGACAGCCAGGCGTTGTTAGCACATAGCATGCCTGTTCTTGACAGCTTGAGCTGTCTGTAGATTTCCTGACAGATGTAGTCACTGACACCCCGTCTTGCTTTCGGGGGAGTTTATACCAGGCTTGGGATGCTAAAAATGTTTATTTTCCTCAGCAACTGAAGACAGAAGGATATCTGTGGATGGAAGAGGCATTGCTGTCAAGGAGCCAGATGATATATAGAAAGTCAATTTAACTTCATTTGTTGATATTCGGGGTGGGGGGGGTGGGGGGGTAGAACCAGAGCCGGAATTACATTAACTTTTGTGGAACAGGTTTCACTCTTCGGGTAAGTCCCTTTAGCACAGAGAGTGAAGATGAGGGACATAAATGTTTAGCTGACGATGAGAAATAGATGAGAAACGAAAGCAGAGAGATGAAAAAGGGACCTAGGTGGATTGAAACCTGCTGTTTTTCTTCTTCTGTGTCACAAGTCTGTGTCACGGGGTCAGAAGGAAGATCACAGGACAGATAGTCCTTGACTTACAGGCAATTCATTTAGGGACCATTCGAAGATACAACAGCACTGGGGAAAAAAAGTGACTTATGACCAGGGGTGGGTTCCAAAATTTTTAGCAAGGGGTTCTCTGCCCAGTTGCTGGGTGGGTGTGGCCATGGTGGGCATGGCCTAGCCAGCCTTCTGCACCATGGTGAGAGAGGTGCATTTGTGCCCTCCCCAGGCTCCGGATGCTTTCCTTGAGCCTCTAGGAGGGTGAAAATTGCTCTTCCCTGAGCTCCGGAGACCCTCTGGAGGCCAGAAACGGGCCTGTTTCCGGCCTTCATGAACTTCCGGTAGGACCGTTTTTCGCCCTCCCTGACCCTCTGTGCATACCCTGCACTTACCTGCATCCAAAACAGGCCACGTGGGGACTCCTGGAAAGGGAGGGGAGGGGAAGGGTGGGCAGGGCCAGCCAGTAGTGGGATTTGGGTGTTCTCTGAACTGCACAGAATCTTAGCTTGAGGTTCTCCCGAAGCCCCGTGAACCCCCAGCAGCTTATGAGAGCTTTTCACACTGTAGTATCCCCATGGTCATGTGATCAAAACTTGGACGCTTGGCAACTGACTCTTATTTATGATGGTTGCAGTGTCCTGAGGTCATGTAAATCCCTTTTGTGACCTTCTGACAAGCAAACTCAATGGGGAAGCCAGATTCACTTAACAACCGTGTTACTAACTAAACAACTTCAGTGAATCACTTAACAACGGTGGCAACAAAGCTTGTAAAATGGGGAAACATTCACGTCACAATTATCTTGCTTAGCAATAGAAATGTTGGACTCAACAGTGGTCGTAAGTCGAGGACTACATGTAATTGGGATCTACCAGGGCTAATAATGTGGAAATTACAACGCCATGAGTTGAGATTCTTCGGTTCCAACATGAATTATTCTGCCGCCAATAAAGATAGCTTGGTTCCTCCCATACAAGCTGCCCATTTG